AAACAACAGTGGTGAGAGTGGACATCCCTGTCGTGTTCCTGATCTCAGGGGGAAAGCTCTCAGTTTTTCCCCGTTAAGGATGATGTTCACTGAAGGCCTCTCATAGATGGCTTTTATGATGTTTAAGTAGGTTCCTTCTATCCCGACTTTCTCTAGGGTCTTTATTAAGAAGGATGCTGTATTTTGTCAAATGCTCTTTCTGCATCTATCGACAGGATCGTATGGTTTTTATCTTTTCTTTTGTTGATGTGATGTATCCCATTGATTGATTTGCGAATATTGAACCAGCCCTGTAACCCAGGAATGAATCCCACTTGATCTTGGTGGATAATTCTTTTTATGTGCTGTTGGATTCGTTTTGCTAGTATCTTGTTGAGGATTTTTGCATCCGTATTAATTAAGGATATTGGCCTGTAGTTCTCTTTTTTTGCTGGGTCTCTGTCTGGCTTGGGAATCAGACTGATGCTGGCTTCATAACATGAGTCCGGGAGTTTTCCTTCAATTTCTACTTTTTGGAATAGCTTGAGGAGAATTGGTATTAATTCCGTTTTAAATGTCTGGTAGAATTCCCCAGGGCTTTTATTTGTTGGGAGATTTTTGATAACTGATTCAGTTTCTTCACTAGTTATGGGTCTGTTCAGATTTTCTATCTTTTCCCGTGTGCATTTTGGTAGTGAGTGTGTGTTTAGGAATTTGGCCATTTCTTCTAAGTTGTCCAATTTGTTGGCATATAATTTTTCATAGTATTCCCTGATAATTGCTTGTATTTCTGAGGGGTTGGTTGTCATAAGTCCCTTTTCATTCATGATTTTGTCTATTTGGGTGCTCTCTCTTTCCTTTTTGAGAAGCCTGGCTACAGGTTTGTCACTTTTGTTTATTTTTTCAAAAAACCAACTCTTTGTTTCATTGATCTGTTCAATTGTTTCTTTGGTCTCTATATTGTTTATTTCTGCTCTGATTTTTACTATTTCTCTTCTTCTACTGGGTTTAGGGTGTTCTTGTTGCTCTGCCTCTAGTTCCTTTAGGTGAGCTGTTAGATTTTGGACTTGCGCTTTTTCTAATTTCTTGAAATAGGCCTGGAGTGCAATGTATTTCCCTCTTAGGACTGCCTTTGCCGCATCCCATAGATTTTGGATTGTTGTGTTTTCATTTTCATTTGCAAGATACAGATTCTTAACTACAGAGAACAAACTGATGGTTACCAGAGGGGAGGTGGGTGTGGGGATGGGTTAAATAGGTGATGGGGATTAAGGAGTGCAATTGCTGTGATGAGCACAGGGTGATGTATGGAAGTGTTAAATTACTATATTGTAGACCTGAAACAAATACAATACTGTATATTAAATAACTGAAATTAAAATAAAACTTTAAAAAGCCTATCTAATGTAATAGAGTATAGTGTCAAACTGACTGAATTGAAATTACATTTTTTTTTTTTTTTAACGATGATGCATTTATTTTGGGAGAGAGAGTGCACGCATGCATGAGCAGGGAAGAAGCAAAAAGAAAGGAAGAAAGAATCCCAGCAGGCTCCATGCTGTCAGGGTAGCGTCCAATGTGGGTCTGGATCTCACGAACTGTGAGATCATGACCTGAGCCAAGAAAAAGAGTCTGATGCTTAACCAACTAAGCCACCCAGGTGCCCAAAATTACATTCTTTGATGCCCTATACATTATGTCAAATTAACAGACTTTATTTTGTTTAGATCAATTTTAGGTTTACATAAATAAAGCAAAAAGTAGAGTTTCCATATATCCCTTAGCCCACTCCACCCCCCAGTTCCCCCCAATTCTTTACATCTTACATTAGCACATACATTTGTTATGAATGCTGAATCAATGTGGAAAGATTATTAACTAAATTCCACATTAGAGTTCATTCTTAGTGTACATTTTATATGTCTTGATCAATATATAATGACCATTATAGTGTCTTACAGAATAGTTTCATATCCCTAAAGATCTTCAGCTATTCGTACCACTCTCCCTCCCTCTGAGCCCCTAGGAACCACTGATACTTTTACTGTTTTACCTTTTCAGAATGTCATATAGTTGGATGACAATATGTAGCCTTTCAGATGGGCTGCTTTGCACTTAGCAAATTGTACTGAAGTCTGCTTTTGTCTTTTCGTGTCTTGATAGCTCATTTCATTTTAGGATTGAATAAAATTCTATTGACCAAATATATCACAACTTACCTATTCACCTGCTGAAGCATATGTTGGTTGCTTCTAAGTTTTGGCAATTATGCATAAAGCTGCTTTCAATATCTGTGTGTAGGTTTTTTGTAAATTAAGTTTTCAAATCATTTTGGTAAATAACTAGGAGCTCAATCCCTGGATTGGATGATAAGTGTTAAGCATTGAGAGAGTACAAAAAAGTCTTCCAAAATGGCCGAACCATTTTGCAGTCGCATAGCAATGAATGGGAATTATTATCACTTCATATCTTCCACAGTATTTGGTATTGTCAGCATTCTGGGGTTTAGCCATTTTGGTAGGTGTTTATTGGTATATTATTTGTTTTTAATTTTTTTTTCTTTTAAATATTTATTTGTTTTCTAGAGAGAGAGCCCGAGTGAGCAGGGCAGGGACAGAGAGGGGAAAACATAGAATCTGAAGCAGGCTCCAGGATCTGAGCTGTCAGCGCAGAGCCTGAAGCGGGGCTTGAACTCATGAACTGCAAGATCATGACCTAAGCCAAAGTCGGATGCTTAACCGACTGAGCCACCCAGGCACCCCTCTTATTGTGGTTTTAAAGTGTGGTTCTCTAAAGACTTATGATGTGGGGCATCCTTTCAGATGCTTGCTTGACATCTGTGAATCTTTGTCGAGGTGTCTGTTCAGATCTTTTGCCCATTTTTAAATTGGGTTGTTTTCTTATTTTGAGTTTTAAGAGTTGTTTGTATATTTTGTACATGTTTTCTGTAGACATTTTCTCTTAATGTGTATCTTGTCATTTCATTCTCTGAATAGTGTCTTTCGAACATCAGAAGTTTTCAATTTTAATGAAGTACAACTTACCAATTTTTTTTTCATGGATTGTGATTTTTGGTGGTATATCCAAAAAGTCATCAGCAAACCTAAAGTTACCTAGATTTTCCTCTATGTTATCTCCTAGGAGTTTTATATTTTACGTTTAGACCTATCACCCAATTTGAATTCATTTTTGTCAAAATTGTAAGATCTGTGTCTAGATTCTTTTCCTTTTTTCTTTTTCTCTTCTTTCCATCCTTTTTTGGTATATGGATGTACAGTTGTTCCAGCACCATTTATTGAAAAGGTTATCCTTTAGCCATCATGTGCTCTTGCTCCTTTGTCAAAGATCAGTTAACTATAGTTGTGTGAGTCTATACCTGGTCCCTCTATTCTGTTCCATTGATATATTTCTCTATTCATTTTCCAGTGCCACACAGTCTTGATTACTATAACTTTATAGTAAGTCTTAAAGTTGGGTAGCTTCAGTTTCTGTAATTTTCTTCTCCTTCAATATTTGTTGTATATTCTGGGTCTTTTGCCTCTCCATATGACCTTTAGAATCAGTTTGTCAATATCCACAAAATAACTTGCTGAAATTTTTACTGGGACTATATTGAATCTATAGAACTGACATCTTGATAATATTGAGTGTTCACATTCATTATATGGAATAACTCCCCATTTATTTACATTTTGTTTTCTTTCAACAGAGTTTTTATTTTCTTCATTAGATCTTATACATTTTTTTTCATATTTGAAACCTAAGTACTTATTTTTAAGGGGTGCTAACATAAATGGTATTCTATTATTAATTTCAACTTAAATGGTATTCTATTATTAATTTCAACTTCTAAGTGTTCTTTGCTGATATATAAGCAAGCAATTGATTTTTATATGTAAACTTATCCTGCAACCTTGATATAATCACTTATCAGTGTCAGGAGTTTTTGTTTTTGCTGTTGATGTTTTGAGACTTTCTACATAAAAAAGTATCTTTTATATATCTTTCATTTTCTTTTCTCGTCTTACTTCATTAGGACTTCTAGTATGATGTTGAATAAAAGTAGTGAAGCAGACATCATTGCCTTGTTCCTAATCTTAGTGAGAAAGCATCTGGTTTTTCACCATTAAGATGCTGTTAGCTGTAGGTTTTTTGCAGCTATTCTTTATCAAATTGAGGAAGTACCCACTATTCCTTATTTGTGAAAGGTTTTATCATGAGTGAGTGTTAGATTTTTGACACATGCTTTTTCTTCATCAATTGATATATTGTCTTGAGTTTAACCTAGCTCTATAAAAGCTGGTGTGGCACCTTGCTTTGGAATTAGTTGTTATTTGGCACCTAGTGCTCTCAGTCCAGGGCTCTTAGTGGACCCCTAATAGAAAGAGTCCCTTTTAGCATCCTGAAACATAAGAAGAAGGAGCCCCAAACTAATGATATCCTAAACCACATGGAGTTCCTGGAAATGCAGACTTTAAGCAGTTTCAGGCCATCAATCTATTTGATGCATTTCTTCAGGTGATAAAAATCTGGGGATAAAGGAATAAATAGTTTTAGAGTATAGCCTTACAATATTCTTGAATAAGAGCAAGAGACACTAGTTGCTGTGACAGAAGCTAAATACAACCAGAAAATTTCTCTGATATTGGTGGGACTGAGGAAATCTTTATTTAAAAAAAGGAAATAAGAAATTGTTACTGCACGAATTTGAGTCAGTAAATCAGCTTAGTGCAATAGCTGTAATAAATATGTCACCTTGTTCATAATCACAGTGTGGGTTGAGCCAATAGAAAGAAGAGTTGCCCTTAGTTCAGCAGTTAGTATTTTTGAGCCTGGGGAGAAAGACAGAATTTAAAATTATGTGGTTTTTATATTTGTCTGATGGATATCAGAAGGAGAAGCTTCCTCTATGACCTGGGTTCTAGATGCCGGCATTAAGTATTTGTGAATGTGGGGGCACCTGGGTGGCTCAGTTGGTTAAGCCTCCAACTTCGGCTCAGGTCATTATCTCACAGTTCGTGGGTTCGAGCCCCGCGTTGGGCTCTGTGCTGACAGCTAGCTGCAGAGCCTGGAGCCTGCTTTGGATTCTGTGTCTCCCTCTCTCTCTGACCCTTCCCTGCTCGCGCTGTGTCTCTCTCTCTCTCAGAAATAAAAACATTAAAAATTTTTTAAAAAGTATTTGTGAATGTGGAAAAGACAAAAGGATCGCTAATGCCACTCTGTGAGAGGTCATGATGTCCCTCTGTTCATTTCCCTCAGCACAGGTTCAGCTGGCTGTGACTTCTCCACTCCACCCTGACTTGAGTATAATTTGTTTCATGATACACCTTTGATGGTGACTATAGGTACTATCAGCATCTACCATCCTAGTTTCTTGGCCACTCCTCAGCTTGCCCTGACCCTATTACTCCAGGAACAGATTCGATGTCTTACAGTGAGACTAACTGGAAAGAGCATATTTGCCCTTGACTGAAAGATTCAATTTGCAAAATTAAAATAACAGGTGGCTAGTTAGGTCTACCTTTATTGTCTGTGATATCTGGTACAAGATAGTAAACAAGAAAATTTTTGTAATCTCCACTTTTTTTTTTTTTTTTAACAGAGATAGTACAAACAGGGAAGAGGGCAGAGGGAGAGAGACAGAGAATTCCAAGCAGCTGTGGAGCCTGATGAGGAGCTCAATCCCATGAGCCTGGGATCATGACCTGAGCTCAAATCAGGAGTCAGATGCTTAACTGACTGAAACACCTGGGAGCCCTTTTAATTTCCACTTCTACAGTATCTTTTTTTTTTTAATATTTTATTTATTTTTGAGAGAGAGAGAGACAGCATGAGCAGGGGAGGGTCAGAGAGAGAGGGAGACACAGAATCCGAAGCAGGCTCCAGGCCCTGAGCTAGCTGTCAGCACAGAGCCCAATGTGGGGCTCAAACCCACGAACTGTGAGATCATGACCTGAGCCGAAGTCGGCCGCTCAACTGACTGAGCCACCCAGGCGCCCCTACAGTATCTTTATACATGTCATCAAGCCTTGCCAGGATAGTTCATTTAAAGTTAAGAAATTTTCAAAATTGAGACTTTGTCATCAGCCCAACTAAAGGCTGCTAACGAAAGCTAATTACTTTATATTTTGCCTATTTGTCATTATTATATGCCTCCCAAGCCTTCAAAACTACCATCTCCATGGTTTTTGTGTATTTAAAAACAAAGAAAACTTCTTTGGCAAACCTCTATCTTGAAGAGGATGAATATTTTACCATTAAAAAAAAAGTTTGTTTTGTTTTGTTTTTTTCTTAAATAGTTTATTGTTAAGTTGGTTTCCATATAACACCCAGTGCTCATCCCAACAAGTGCCCTCCCCCATGCCCATCTGCCCCCTTCCCCTCTCCGTTTTAATATTTATTTATTTTTGAGACACAGAGAGAATGTGAGCAGGGGAGGGGTAGAGAGAGAGGGAGACAAATCCGAAGCAGGTTCCAGGCTCCTAGCTGTCAGCACAGAGCCCAACACAGGGCTCAAACCCATGAACCCTGAGATCATGACCCGAGCCGAAATCGGACACCCAACTGACTGAGCCACTCAGGCGCCCCCGAATATTTTACTATTAAATGACAAGTAATACCTGCTAAGATAATGTCAAAAATAAAGTGTTTGGTTGTCTGCAAAAGCAACAATTAATTATATTCATAAGGATTTTAGATGGTTTCAAGAGAGGTGCCATTGCTGCTGCATCTCGAAGGATAACTCAGTTTGCAGCAAAGGAAAACTAGAGGAAACATATTTTTGACCAAAGCAAGGAAATGAGCAAATATACAACGGTAGTGAGAAAATGCTAGGACTCCACTGGAGTTCACCATAGCCATGGGCTCATTAAGGATGAGGTACTTAATTTAACTCCCCCCAAATGGGTACCATGTTGTTTTAGAAATTGTGGTTCTTTGGCACCCTGTGTACTCATCTTTAGAGCACAGCAGAAATTCTCAGACAGGAAGAGTCTCATTTAACATCCTGCTACCCAGTTTGGTGAAAAACCACAAAGCTGCAAATGTACCAGAAAAGCAGAGACATGAAACAATCAGTTCAGAAATGCGATGATTGCAACTGTTCAGTTAAAAAATTGAGTGTCTTAAAAAATAATAGCTGTTTAGGGACATAATTCACATGCTTAGGGAATTTTAGAACTGGAGAGTTTAGCAACTATGACGTAAGAGTAAAAACAATACAGAACAAAATCACTTGCATTTTCTGGACTTTAAAAACCACAGACTAAGTGAAGAGAAATTCAGAACTCACATAAAATGTAAGGCAACAGAACCTGCCTAGAGGTTTGGCTGTGATAAATACAGCACCTCGCCTACATGTTGGATTGAAAACTGTATCACTACAGAGAACGTACACCTTAAGTTCTGTCTTATTGCACCAAAAACATAGGTCTTAAAGGGAAAACTGAAATTATGGAGGGTTTTAATTTGCAGGATGGATATGCAGGAAAGAGTCTCTAGTAAGAGTTGGACAGTAAAGTGCTAATATAACATATTTAAGAGTTCACAAAAGTGTCTTTCAAGTTACTCTCTGAGTGAGTCTTTGTGTCCATTCTCCAAAGAGGCTGAAGTCACGTGCCCCGCTCCCTCGAACCACCCTTACGCATGGTAAGACAGCCTGTGCCACATCTCTGATGGTGACCACAGGGGGAGTCTTAGACTTTGCTCATTCTTTTTTCAGGAAGACCTTCACAGATGCAGACTGCTCTGATTCCCCTATGACAGGTTCAAGTAGATGTACTAATGTACTAACATGACAAACCCCTCACTCTTCTTCCAGAAACAGAATCAGGAGAACATCTTAACAAGTCAGCTGGTATGACTCTCTCTGTAGCCTATGGTTTCTGTTGTGGTGTACTGAAGGCATCCATAAGTGCACCCTACCTCAAGTATAGTCCTTTTATACATTTCCAACACTCATCAGGAATGATCTATTTGGAGTCGAGGAATTGTTAAATTTGTGACTTAAATGTGGGGTCTCATTATTAAATGGTACACATTCAGAGCCTCCTCAAGTCTGATTTATAAAGGGGAAATCATTATTCCTCTCGCTTAATATTTCCTTTTTACCATTTTTGAGGGTATCAGAAAGCTCACACAAGTAAAGGGGACAGACTTTACTATTTGAAAGCATTAATTATCCATATAAGCTACCCTAGAGAAGAAAAAAAGATCTAACATAATATCTGAATTTCTATATGTCTCTGCTTTGATCAGTATACCTACACCTTAAACCTACAGCCTTTATACAGTGTTCTGCCCCCAGAAGGTTAATATATAGGTTTTAGGAACAAGAGTTGGAAGAATGAGTGGACTTACTCACCATCACGCACAATGATATCCTTAGGGAATTTGTGCTTCCTGTCGCTGGAAACCAGAAACGTCTAGTATCTATTAAAGAAATTGGATCAGTGAGAATTCTTTATAATAAAACTTCAAGATTTAGATGATTTAAATGTGATTTCTATAAATAAACATGTAACAATAGTTGTTGTGTTTTTTTTTGTAGCAATATTTTTTATATAAATTCTTGTTGGAGGGTGCCTGGGTGTCTCAGTCGGTTAAGTGTCCAACTTTGGCTCAGGTTCTGATCTCACAGTTTGTGGGTTCAAGCCCCACAACAGGCTCTGTGCTGACAGTTTAGAGCTTGGAGCCTGTTTCAGAGTCTGTGTGTGTGTGTCTTTCTTCCTCTCTCCTGCTCACGCTCTGTTTATCTCTCAAGAATAAATACATATTTTTAAAATAATTTTTAATAAAAATTAAAAAAGCAAATTCTTGTTGGGCATCAAAAATAAGGCATGTTGGGGTGCCTGGGTGGCTCAGTCAGTTGTCTCTTAGTTTCAGCTCAGGTCATGATCTCATGGTTCGTGAATTTGAGCTCCACATTGGGCTCTAGGCTGTCAGTGCAGAGTCGGCTTGGGATTCTCTGTCTCCCTCTCTGTCTACCCCTCTTGCTCTCTCTCTTTCTCTTTCTCTCTCTCTCTCAAAAATAATATAAATAAACAAACAAATAAGGTATGTTATCTAACATTATTTGAGAAAGTCCTTAATACCAAATAGGACCACAGTTGTATAAAAATAGTGTTATGTCAATTATAAATAAGGAGGCAAAAATTCTAAATCAGATATTAGCAAACAATACAATCCCCATCAAAATTCCAATGATATGAAATTCCAGTGATAGAAAAAAATAACCCTACAATTTATATGGTATCACAAAAGATCCCAAATAAACTAAGCAAGCAGTCCTGAGAAAGTAGAACAAAGGTAGAGGTATCAATTTCCTGATGTCAAACTTCATCACAAAACTTCAGTAATCAAAACAGTGTGATGCCAGGATAAAAAGGCATATAGTCCAATGGAATAGAATCGAGAGCCCAGAAATAAACCCATGCACCTACAATCAACTGATATTTGATATGGGGGCCAAGAAAGTTCAGTGGGGAAAGGACTACATAGTTTCTCAATAAATGATGTTGGGAGAACTATATGACTACATGCAGAGGAATGAAACACCTACCTCACACCACTCACAAAAATTCACTCAAAATGGATTAGAGAATTACATGCAAGACCTGAAACTATAAAACCACTAGAAAGAAACATAGGTCAAAAGCTCCTTGAGGTTGGTTTTGGTAAAGATTTTTTTTGGTAATACCTAAAGCTCAAGCAACAAAACCAAAAATACGTGGGATGACATCACACTAAAAAGCTTCCGCACAGAAAAAGAAACAATTAGCAAAATAGAATGGCAACATATGGAATGTGAGAAAATATTTACAAACCATCTATCTGGTGATGGGTTAATAACCAAATATATAAGAAACTTCCTACAACTCAATAGTAAAAAATCAGATTTAAAAAGGGTTATCGGACACTTTTCCAAGAAGACATACAAATGGTCAACAGATACATGAAAAGATGCTCAATGTTACTGATCATGAGGGAAACACAGTCAAAACCACAATGAGGTATCATTTCCCATCTGTGAGAATGGCTATTATCAAAAAGACAAGAACCAACAAGTGTTGGCAAAGCTGTGGAGAAAAGGGAAGATTTGTGCACTGTTTGTGGGGATGTAAATTGATAGAGCCACAGTGGAAAACAGTATGGAGGTTCCTCAAAAAATTAGTAATAGAATTACCATATGATCCAGGAATCCTGCTGTGGGTATACTTCTGAATGAAATGGAAGCACTATCTTGAAGAGATATAAGAACCCCATGTTCACTGCAGCATGATTCACAGTAACCAAAATATGGAAATAACCTAAGTGTTTACCAATAGATTAACGGATAAAGTAGGTGTGTGTGTGTGTGTGTGTGTGTGTGTGTATTGTTTATAGACAATGGAATGGAATATTATTCATCCATGAAAAATAAGGGAATCCTGTCATTTGCAATGGATGAACACTGATGGCATTATGTTAAATGAAATAAGTCAGACAGAAAGATGAATAGTATATATTCCCACTTACATACGGAATCTTAAAAAGGCAAGGTCATAGAAATAAAGAGTATAATGGAGATTGCCAGTGACTAAGGGTTAGGGGAAATGGAAAGATGTTGGTCAAAGGGTACAAATTCTCAGATATAAGATAAATAAGATATGGTATCTAATTAATGCACAGCATGGTCACTATAATTAAAATACTCTATTACATACTTCTAAGTTGTTAAGAGAGTAGATCTTAAGTGTTACCACCACACACACAAAAGAAATCACAATTATGTGAAAGGATGGAGGTGTTAATTAATCTTACTGTGGTAATAATTTTACAAAATAGATCTAGTCATCACATTGCACACATTAAGTGTACACAATGTTATATGTCAAAAAGATCTCAATAAATCTGGAGACAAAAGATCATGCCATCTGCAAAGACAGATAATTTTACTTCTTCCTTTCCAGTCTGGATGCCTTCTATTTCTTTTTCTTGCTAATTGTTCTGGCAAGGACTTCCAGTATTATGTTGAATAGAATTGGTGAAAGAATGCATCCTTGTCTTGTTCCCAATCTTAGGAGAAAAGCTTTCAACCTTTCACCATTGTGTGAAATTAGCTGTGAGTTTTTCATGTATGGCCTTTGTTTCATGGAAGTAGTTTCCTTCTATTTCTACTTTGTTGAGGGCTGTTAACATGAAAAGATATTGAATTTTGCCAGATGCTTTTTCTGTATAAATTGAGACTATCATTTTTCTCCCCTCCATTCTGTTAATGTCATGAATTACATTGGTTGATGTTCATCCCTTAATCTTGGGGAAAGAGCAATGTGGCTTTTTCTTGATTGGGGGTTCACTTGGCTGTTGTGTTTGTTTTCTAGATGTCCTATAAGATTTAGTCATTTTGTTATTATTATTATTATTTTAATGTCTTTATGAGGATACAAGGGCTTGGAGCTTCTAGTCTGTCATTTTGTGGGCATTATCCTCATAGTGAATTCTGTTTTGATCACACAGATTATTTGTATTGGGGTCAAGCAAAATGTAATACAATTTTCCTGTGCTGGTATGTTCCCCCCTGCTGTTGGCCATGCAGACACTAGGTAGGACAAAGGAGATCACTGAGATGGTCTTATCAGCTTTCCTAAGCTTCATTAACCTATTTCCTATATTCCTGGAGAGAGGACTACTCTATTTTTTCTTTGAATTTCTATACCAACAGCAAACATTGAAGAGTTTTCTTAATAAATACATTTCCAAGCACTATTCAAGTCCAGCTTAAGAGGTGAGAAGGTAGCACCAAATAAGGTAGGCTGTAGACTAAGTTTGAGGAAATAGAGACAGTAATGTAGAAATGGCCAAGCAACTGACATCTTACTTTATACAAATACCATGTACAAGAATGGCTTAAACTTGTCTTCTTACAAAATTGTCCAAGATGTGCTTGAAACTGTTGTTTGATTACTTCAAACATTCAACAATTATTTATTATTTACTATTATGTAAGAGGCCTTTTACCAGGAGGCTTATCTTTGGGTGTTTACAAAATTTATTACAAGAGGCATGTTTTATAAACATGAAAGTGGTGAAGATTCCTTTTACTCTGCTCTATTGTCCTTCACCTCAATCTTAATCCTTTCCAGATCTCTAAATTGTTATCATTTATTTAAAAAAAATTTTTTTTAACATTTCTTTATTTTTGAGAGGGAAATAGAGCATGAGCCGGGAGGGGCAAAATGGGAGGGAGACACAGAATCCAAAGCAGGTTCCAGGCTCCAAACCATCAGCATAGAGCCCGATGTGGGGCTCAAACCCACAAAGTGTGAGATCATGACCTGAGCCAAAGTCAGATGCTTAAATGACTGAGCCACCCAGGCGCCCCATAAACTGTTATCACTTCTTGTAAATGCTGCTTTATTGACTGTTTCTCATTCCTTCCCCCTCCATGGTTATCATTCACTGCAGCTAGTATGTTTCCTAATGCTTAAGGTGTTACTTAATAAAAAGTATGTCCTGAAAGAAGAGGCAGCTCGTTCAGACTGAAGATAATGTATATATGATGTGTGTTGGTCATATGCATTAGGGAGAAGGGCGTATGGGGATGTAGGGCTTATCCCTGCTTCTTTCCTTTACCAAAACATCCATATGGACAGTATGAGATGCATTCCTTTGAGTGATATCAGTGGTTCACAGGGACTTACTCAGCTACTGGACTTTCATTCCATATGAAATGGCTTTGGTTGGGGAAAGTAGAAGGTGACTAAACTTTGACTCACAATTGTTAAGAAAACAGAGCTGTGACCTAAAGACTTTAGAGAGAAGGAAATTCAGAAACATCATGCCTCCAGTTTTGGGATTTTTTTTCAAGACTGCTTTGGCTATTTGGGGTCTTTTGTGGCTCCATACAAATTTTAGGACTATTTGTTCTGGCTCTGGAAAAATGCCAGTGGTATTTTAAGAGAGACTGCATTAAAATGTGTAGATTGCTTTGGTAGTATAGACACTTTAACTATGTTTGCTCTTCTAATCCGTAAGTATTGAATGCTTTTCCATTAAGAGCCATGTTACAAAGCAGTCATCAAGACACTATGGTGATGGTACAAAAACAGACACATAGATCAGCGCAACAGAACAGAAAACCCAGAAATGGACCCACAACTATATAGTCAACTGATCTCTGGTAAAGCAGGAAAGAACACCCAATGAAAAAAGAGTCTCTTCAACAAATGGTGCTCAGAAAACTGGACAGCAACATGCAGAAAAATAAAAGTGGACCACTTTCCTACACCACACACAAAAATAAATTCAAAATGGATGAAAGGCCTAAATGTGAGACAGGAAACCATCAAATTCCTAGAAAAGAACATAAGCAGCAACCTCTTTTACCCCTGCTGGAGCACCTTCTAACTAGACACATGACTGAAGCGAAAGGAAACCAAAGCAAACATGAA